ACACAATCGATAACCTTCGAAATCTAACGTTGCGATATAATTTCGAAGGTTTTCGAATTAATATAATTACTGATGTATAATAAAAAAATAAATAGAAATGTCGCTGAGAATATGAAAAAAGCAAAAAGTCTTAATAAAATATATCATTTTATCAAAAAAGAAAGAACCAAATCTTTGTTATATATAAAAAATCACGCGATTTTCAAAAGAGAAATACATAAGCTGTCCATACTTAATTTTAGAATTAAAAAAATTATAGAAGAGCAAACCACGCGTGAAGACTTAATTGAAGCTCTCAAAAATGCAAGTCTTGATTTTCAAAGTGTTGCAAGAGCAGAAAAAAAGAAAGAAACATTAAAACAAATACAAGAAGCAGTTGAATGACGATGAAAAAATCTTAAAGAAAATTCAAAAAGAATGATTAATAGTATTCTAGATAGACAATGTAAATCGATTGTTATGGACCGCATAATTAATGAAAATGAGGAGGGAAATAATGAAATTATCACAGATAGCACAGAAATTAAAGATACAGCAAAAAACCATTTCTGTAACTGGACTAGAAAACGCAATATGAATGAAAATCTCATGGAAAAATGGAAAACAACATATAACCTAAGAGACGAGATTGAGGAAAAATGATATCTTCCACTGTTAAGAGAAGTAAACACAGAAGAATTGAGACAAACTATTAATACATTACCAAATAATAAAGTGCCAGGGCAATCTAATCTGCAGTATGAGTGGTTTAAACACTTTTCACTTAATTGGATTGAAACTTTGAGGGATATAATTAATATGTCAATCAAACTAAACGATATTTCAAAAGACTGAAAACTAGAATATATATATTCTATACCTAAAACTAATGATTGGGGAAATAACCTTAACATAATAATGCCAATTACACTTCTTGAAGCAGGGCAAAAAATATTTATGAAGATCTTAAACAACAGATATCAACTATCTTTAATAATAATAAAATCTTATCAAAATATAACTATGCTGATTTATCAAGGGATGACACACAAAAACCTATTCATGTGATAAATAATATAATAAAGGATGCCAGAGCAAATAATAGAGAACTTTGGATTATGTTTCAGGACATGAGCAAAGCTTTCAACTCAGTTAATTCTAATTGTCTATTGCAAGCATTATATAGAATCAAAATTCCTGTTGGTTTTATCAATATTTTTGAAAAATTAACACATAACAGAGAAAACATAATACTAACTATGCATGGTAACACTGAACTGTACAAAGTTGGAGATGAAATAGATCAAGGAGACATAATATCACCATTTCTGTGGAGAATCTTTTATGATCCATTAATTAGTAAAATTGCAGAATCTAAATTTGGTTATAAAATAAAAGAGAATTGGATCAGCAATTTACGCTTGGATACACAAAGTAATTTGGCATTGAAAATGTCAGTGGCAACATACATAGACGATACAAACTGGTTTGCGTCATCTAGAGAACAAATGGAACAAATTCTTAAAATAGCAGATGAATTCTTTGTTATGAATGACATTACAATAAACAAGAGTAAATCATATTTAATAGCAATCAATATGACAATAACCAATAGGAAAAAAGGAGTGAAAATGAGAACAGAAACTCTAAAACCAGTGGCAAAAGACTTTCCTGTTAGGTCTCTGGGTATTTACATTACTGAAAATGGTTTAAAAAAATTTCAAAGAGAGCGACTAAAAAAATTAACAGATTATTTGGCAAATATACTAAGAGGTAAATTTATATTTTTAATATGGTAGTAATTTCCATACTAGAATATAGCTTAAACGATATAACCTTAACAGAGAATTAATGTCTTAAAATAACAACGCGCTTCATATCAGTTATTAAAAACAAAGCTTTACTATCTCGTATAATACCTAATGCATTAATACATGCCAAAGAAACATATAATGTTTGTAGTTTATGGAAAAGACAATTCCAAATGCATAGTAACAATTTCCTTAACCGTTTAAATGATAAAGGAGCTATGGGATTTTTTATACAAATACGACTACAACACTTATAAAATATTTTCTGGTCGAAAGAATCAATCTTAGAATCAACAGAAATTCTTCATATACCAAGAAGTTAGTCTTTAATTAATGATATTCTGAAAATTTGCAAAGTAAACAATATTACATTTAAAATATTTAAAGAAATAATAGGAAGTATACTAATAAAAGGAGGAAATGTAACTATTGAGAAAATACTTCATGACCATAATTGTTATTTTCAATATAGGAAAAGTCTTAGAACTCGACAAATAATATTTTTAGAACAATTAACATCATACAATGGTAACTGTCTATTGTACTGGCAAGGTATAACTGGAAATAAAAGACGAAATTCTAAACCAGGGTGATTTAAATTAATTGAAAAGAAACTTTTATCAAATCTAACAGGAAGACAAATCTCTGACAAAGAAATCAAAAAGAGATTGAGAGACAGATATAACACTTGTGAACAAAATATTGACAAACAAAGTAACAAAATAAAATGTGCAGCAACTCAAAACTCCAATAGTCAAAGAGTAATCATCGGAAAAAGACGCAAAGTGATAAACAACCATGAACTTATCCTAATACATTATATTAGAGAAAGAAATATCAATAGGAAAGAAACTTCATCACTTAAAAAATGTCAGCGCTGCGCATAAGGAAATAATAATTTAACAAATGATCTTAGAAACAAAAGTATATGCTTAATCAAAGTTGAGGTTTTACAAACAGTAAACATTAATATAATTAAAAGTAAGGTTTTCAGTAGGGCAATACCTGAAAGGAAAAACAAACTATATCTACAATCTGAAATGGGAGCAATTGAATATGGGTTAAATAACATCCTAACTAAACAACAAACAGGTCAGTTAAACACATCACATTTGTTACCAAGCATAAATATCGATAATATTATCAACAATCGTGAAAAAATATATAATAATTATTTAAACTTTTGATCAAATAATGAAATCCAGAATAAATTAGACCAGATTCGAACTCTATTATCCAATAACAAAGAGATCAAAATATACACAGATGGCTCATTAATAGAAAATGCTAATAATAGCAAATTTCAATGAACAAGCAAAAACCAGTAATGGGGTGTGGATAGGTTGCAATTATTGACAACAATACAAAATTCACATTTAATGGTAAAGTTAAAGATTTCATGGCTATACTAACTGCAGTTTACGTGATACCAAATAAATTAAATCTTAAAATCTTTACAGATAGTCAGGTAACAATTGATGCTTATACAAATATTATGAAAAATAATAAGAAAAACTATACAAAAGTTAAAAATTAGATATTGCTCAAAGTAATAAATGAAATCGTCTTTATACAAAAGATTAAATTAGAATTTATTAAAATAAAGGTACAATCAGGAATAGAATTTAATGATCTGACAGATAAACTTGCAAAAGAAGACCATAATAAACCAAACTGAAGTTCAGACCTACAAACATTAGCATCAATCAATGCAGTTAGCTGTTGGAATTCACAGCTTATAAAAGAATCCTTGAGAACATTTATCAAAAAATTAAGCCAACTAAATAATCAGCTAGTTGGAGACTACTGAATAGAAATACAACAGTAGTATCTGACAATAAAAGTAAGGAAATTTGTTGGGAATCATCTTGGCAAACTACAACATTATCTTATATTGATAAACAAACTATAAATTTAAATGACATAAGACAAAGATCTTTTAACATAAAACTAATGAACAATGAATTGCTCACATTAGAAAGACTTAAAAAACAATTTCCAAATATATACAAAAGTGATAAATGTCCTCGTTGTAATATGGAAAAAGAAGATCAATATCATATTTTTAAATGTACTCAAAACCTGGTAGATTTGAAAATATGTAAAAACAAATTTACGGATTTACTATGGGAACATATTATTGAAAAATCAACATAAAACCTTGATGAAAACACAAGAACTATAATAAATAGCCTAAAAGAACTTAAGATTGAAATGCAATCTACAACAAGAGATAGAAATGTGTTTTCATTTATTGATATAGTTTTTGGTCTATTACCAAATTCCTTAATAGAAATAATACATTCTACAGTTGGTAACAAAGAAGGAACAAGTAAGATAATTAGAAACGTGATAGAAAAATTTAAACAATATATAAGAACAAACATTTGGGTAAGACGTTATAATGAAATAAAAAGATGGGAGCTAGAAAATGACATACGAAATAAAAACAAACGAAAAGTCTTAATCTTGTCAAACAATAATCAGGTTGTAAATATAAATATTAACAATAATAATAGTAAATATTAACAATAATAATACTAACACAGATATAGAAAAAAATAGTAAAAACATAGTTAAAACTATATGTAATAATATAGTTAGCCAATTTTTCTACAAATTTATTAAGGAAAGGGTCAAATAGACGGAAATATATAATATAGGTTATTCAGCAAAGTCTTAACATGTTGAGAGTAAGTTTACTTGTCAGGTGGTAGGTTACGAGCCCGTCTTTCATGAGTTAGTCCGAGTCTCATCTTTTTTAACAAACATTAGAATAAGTTGTATATTTTGTATTATGTAATCTTATATAATGTAAAAAACTTTTTCTTTTTCTAATTAATAAATTTGAGGCAAGATCTTATTGGAACAAAAAAAAAACTAGAAATAAAGCTTAAATTATATTATAGAGTTAAATAAATAAAATATATTCTCTCAGTTCTATAAACTAAATTTTATCCAATTCTCAAGGAGAGAAGAAGAAAGGTAAGTGTATTATCAAGGTAAGAATAAGTTAAGAATAGATTTTTTTAATTATTTAACAAAAAAATAAAAAGATAGAAAAACTCACTAAACATTTTCTCACGTCTATTTTGAATCTCACAATGTTCTCACGAACTAGAAAAGAAGAAAAGTAAGTATTTTATTAAGGTAAGGGATAAGGTAAGTATAAGTTTTTTTAATTATATAAAAAAAAAAATAAAAAATAATATAAAAAAGTTTACCAAATGTTCCTTAAGTCTGTGAAGCCAATTCTGGCCTTTAAAGGTATCCCACGAACCAGCAAAGTCAAGGTGAAAAAAGGTAAGTGTATTAATAAAGCAAGGAATAAGATAAGTATAGGTTTTTTTTAATTATATAAAAAAAAAATAAAAAATAATATAGAAAAGCTTACCAAATGTCTCTTGAGCCTGCGAAACTAATTTCGACCTTCAAAGGTGTCTCACGAACTAGCAAAGTCGAGGTGAAAAAAGATAAGTATATTAATAAAGCAAGGAATAAGGTAAATATAGATTTTTTTTAATTATTTTAAAAAAAAATAAAAAAAAAATAAAAAAAAAAAATAGAAAAAACTTACCAAACATCTTCCAAATTCACGAAGCCTATTTCGACCTCACGTTGTTCTCACAAACTAAAAGAAGAAAAGAAAAGTGTATTATTAAAGAAGGGAGCAAGGTAAATGAGTTTTTAATATATTCACTTTTTTTTTTAAAAAAAAAATCAAATATTCATATCTTTCACCTATCTTGAATTTCGAATCTGTGAGGTGATTTCAAAAAAAAAGAAATAAAGGTAATTATATTATTAGTTTTATTTATTTGTTTTAAAAAAAAAAATCTGTTTACCTTTAAA